GATGACCTTCAGTACTTGTTATGCACTTAGTCCTGCATTTCTCCCCTTTTCAGATAGTAAACAATAATAAAACTGGTGGAAAAGATGGAATAATTATAAATATGGAGATGTTATTTCCTATCACTTCACAAATAAACTGAAAGACTGAGTAATGAAAGCTCCAAACATGCTTTGTTATAATTCTATTGACTTATTAGGGTCTTTTTTTAATGAAATGCTTTATAACCCTTTATTAAAGTTCTTTATTGATTTTTTTAAAAAAGTAGCAGCAACATCTGATTGCATTTAGCAATCTTCTCCCGGCCTACCATTTGAAGAGGCAGCAATAAAAGTTCATTTTGTTCCTAATAATTAAGAGATTCGGGTTTTAGAATACTAAGACGAAAACGGTTAATCGTGTTTGGCCTCTCAACATTTAGACAATTTCTAAATAAATACCTCTTTCACTTTGCTTTCAGTTGGGAAATGACTGTAGCACTTACTCTATTTGTCAGTTTTAGCTGTGTTTTTTTTAAAATTATTATTATTTGTAGAGATTGCTCATGTTGTTAGCCTCCCTGAAAGCTCACCAGAGTAGAAAGCAGAATTAAAAAAAATAATAGGCACATTATTAAATTAACATGGGCGTCTGAGCCTGCAGCCCAGCTTCAAATTTAGCCATGCATTTTGTGAACAGCCCGGTCCTCTTCTTGGGGAAGAGCTACATAAGTCCTGTGTGAGGTCCTGCTTACCTTCTCCACTCCATCCTCCACAAAAACCTTTCCCTCCCTCTTCCCCCCTCATCTCATCCATCCACCTTCAGGCAAGGTGCACTCTACTCAAATACTGTATTTCTCAACCTTGGAAATTTTGACGTATAGGTTTCATCTTAGGTCAGGGGTAGGCAACCTTGGCTCTTTTATGACTCGTGGACTTCAACTCCCAGAATTCCTGAGCCAGCCAAGCTGGCTCAGGAATTCTGGGAGTTGAAGTCCACGAGTCATAAAAGAGCCAAGGTTGCCTACCCCTGTCTTAGGTCATGCTGGCCCTCACGTTGGCTGGAAAATTCTGGCAGATGAAGTCCACACATCTCAAACTTGCCAAGCTTAATGATCCCTGCTCTGGTCCCCACGCAGTCTCTCTGTTCAATATTTCGCAGTGTCCTATGGAGATTCTCAATCATCCTGGTCATGGCTTCTAAAGCACCTTTGGGACAACATTTCGGAGCTTCTGCCCTCCCCAACACACTGTGTCCGGCCCGGCCTGATGGGTTCTGTGCTTCACCTACCCCGGGAGTCTGCCTTTTGCCCAAAGGTTTCACCCGGGCGTAAATCTGGATCGTCTGCTTCACCATCTCCGCGAATCAAGTTCTCAGCGGCCACGAAACAAGCGAGCCAGGGGCAAGGCCGGCCCTAGCAACGGTAACCAACGAACACTACCCGTCGTGCCTTGCGATACAGCGGCCGGTTGGGGAAACGCCCCCGCGCACGTGGGAAGCTGAGCTTCCTCAGTTAATCGATTTGAATACTAAGTAGGAGAGAGAAGGAGAGAGAAGGACGCTTGCGTGTTTTTCGTTACTTAAAGAAACGTTTTCGCTCTTCGTAGGGGGGAGGTGGTGGATGCTGGTCGTTAGCAATTTTTTTTTTCTTTTAGTCGCAAACAGCATGTCCTGAAATGGAGGGTGGACGTCAATTTAAAAACAAAACCAAAACGCTGGCTGCTGTGTTAGCGATAGCTAGTTGAAACTAAGCTCCTGCTTAATCATGATAACTCCTAGGTAATTGAAGGATTTGGGATCAGAAAGGTGGTCGGAAGACGATGTAGTGATTCTAGTCTGAGCCCCAAGCTCAAAAGTGGCCTCTGAAAGGAATCTGAGCTTCAAATAATTTCCTTATTACATAGGGATTAAAAGAAATGTGGATGTTTAGTGCTGACTTAAGGAACTATTCATTCCAATTGCATACGTGGAAACTAATCTATTTTCAAGATTATTCCTTAAGCCTTGCATATAGCTTCCTGATAGATTTATGGAATAAATCAAAATTGCTTAGGTTCACACAACATCAGACCTGCCTCTAGTATTCTTTATTGTGTCATTTCATTATCTTTTTTCCTACTTAATGTTTTTTTTTAAAAAAAAAATGTGAGGAGCATGTTGATTTCTTTTCAATTTTTTTTCAAAGAACCAATGTTTATTGTTTGCAATTACTTTGCCCATCTCTTGTGTTTAGTGGTTTTGTGGAACATTAAAAAAATGTTCTTCAAGAATGCCAGACTTGTTTGTTTTTTTAACATGAAACTCATATATGTTTTTATGTAAAAGTTGAGCTGCTCAACTTTTACATAAAGTGAGATTAATTGGGTAATTAATATTTTTTATTTCATTCAGCACATATTTAACTATACTATCTCAGGCAATTAGGTTACCTAAATTCACATGCTACACTATGCTGTGGCTCAGAGAAATAAACCAGATTGTGGTTGTTATCTGTGAATCTGAATCCAGAGACCTTTTAAGACAATTTGTGAATTTGCAGGTGTGGTAATCTTTGTATCCTAGAATGGTATTAAATTTTGAATTAATCCAACTGACTACAAGGATGCTCAAAGCCAAATTGGAAAATTGCTTCATTGTTTTAAGATCTTGGTAGTTTGCAATAACATATCTACCGTACTTTGATATTATTTAGTGTCTCTCCCAAATATTTTCTGAAGGGGAATTCTTTATCTGGCCCTAAAAGAAAATCCTCTGTTAGCTCATAATCACATAATGTAATGCACCTTGTTTTAATCTACAAGAGTTTTAATCTGATAATCCTGCCATGATGGTGGTGTACAACTCGATAGGATATTAAAAAAAACATTGAATCCCAGGCTCTCTTTATTAAAAACATTTTTATCAAAAATATTCTCTCTATCAGGAAGCTATTAACCCATGTTTCTGTATTAATGACCATTAGTCCTTAATTTCAAACTAGACTCTACCTTTCTTTTACCAAAGTTCAAAATATGTATGGAAAATGCCAGATGGCAGAATCACTTAGGCATACGGATATATTCTTTGGAGGATTTTTTTTTTTAAAGAATTATCCAACTCAAAATTGATTCTGGATGTGATTGTGTAGTTTTGTTGACAGCAATTTGCCCTTTGTCATTCCAAAATTTAATTTAAAATTTATTCTAAAAACTGGTTCCTCATAATTTAGAAATAAATATGTTTTTACTAATGTATATAACATATTTCTTGGTCCATAAAAGGAATGGTTATTCTATATCAACAAAACATGTGGATGATTACTAGTCTCAAATGTGCAAATTAAGGGCTATGAGAATATTAAGGCAACTATTTTGTTTTTTAAAAAATTCTGTTTCATGAATAAATTTGCTAATTTTAGAAAATTTTAGAAAATCCAACAAATGAGATGTTCAGCTCTCCTTACTGTTCTTTTTCTACAATTAACATCACTGTGTTGTGCTTTTATATAATTACAGTATATTAAATTGCTACTATAACCAATAGTCACCAATTGATCAATGCATTGTGAGTGTATTCATTATTTCAAACAGGACTACAAAAGCTAGTGCAATAGTTTGTTACAATATGTCACAGCAAGCATTAGCTGTGAAGCAGTGCTAAGAAACCGAGAAATCTGGCATTCAGTTTCATGGATGACTACAAGTTCTATAGACCTAACAGAAAATAGAATTTCTCTTTCACAATTCCATATATAAATGTGTTCTAAAAAATATACTTTACTTGTTCTTCATAATCACAATGTTCCACTTATTAGCCATTGTAGCTGTCCTTTTCTGTTTTTGGAAGAGGAGCAAGATTGCACATGATAATCTGAATGTAGACATTGCATAAATTTATGTTTTTCATAATACTCCTGTTAACATTCATAAGTCTCCATGTGGCATATATTAAACCATAATTCATCTCCAATACATATAAAACTGTTTAATGAAGACTGGCTTGAAGGCTTATTGTCTTTGTGTCCAAGTCTACTCAGCTTGCTTTTTCCTGGGCGCTTTGCCATATTCCCTTTGCCCTCTCTTGTTGATATTGTTTGGAGTCAAAACTTAGAAATATCCACAGTTCAAAAAGGAATCAAATAAACTGTTGTGTTCTCTGGATCCTAATGGGCAGCAAATGGAAGCATGAGCTATAAAGCTGCAAAGAAATAAACACATTTAAACCAGAAAAAAATTATCAGGGAAATAATTTAGGGGATTGTTAACAATTCTTCCTTCAAAAAAGAATTATGATGCTACAAAGGCTTCTTGTATGTTCTGGCATGAAAACTTTCTTATAATAATTCTAAATGTAGTAAATGGTATTTAATGATCTGAAAAGGCTATAGAGGGTACAATAAAGCTTAGAGCACATTATGAGATGAAAAAGCTGATAAATTCCCACCACCAGTATGTACATTTTTTGATAGTATCTACAAATGAAAATATTTGTCAGTTCTAATTTTATTGCACTTTTCATTTTTCTAACTGAGCTTCTTGCCTTTTGTTTCTATGTAAATTTGCAATATTTAAACATGCACAAAATTTGACATTTCTAATAACACATTGTANCAGAAGCGGTGAATGCTCCAACACTGGAAGTTTTTAAGAAGAGACTGGACAGCCATTTGTCCGAAATGGTATAGGGTTTCCTGCCTGAGCAGGGGGTTGGACTAGATGACCTTTAAGGTCCCTTCCAACTTTACTATTATTATTATTATTATTATTATTATTATTATTATTATTATTATTATTATTATTATTATTATTATTATTATTATTATTATTATTATGAGGTAACCTCAATTTGGTCAAGGATATTCAAAGAATTTTTACCTGCCATAAAAATGTTTCCATTAGTTTATTAATTAATATATCTCATAGGAATTAACATTGAAATTTTAAAATATATATTAATATCAAGGTAATATTTTGATAACGTTAATCTCCCCCCAAAACCTGTGGGAGTTTTAGCCATACAGTTATGAAACAGTTTGTTTCCTGCTGAGGGGCAGAAAGCAGGAGGAAAAAGTGAAGGAGCGCCATTTTGATGTGGCTCATTTTCAAGGCTGGCTCAAGTTATTTTCCTAAGTTCCTTTGTGGGCAAGGAAAAATGGCATGTTTAGATTTGATATGACATTTTTCTCCCCTTATTGAGTCCTTCCCAAGGACCTAGAATTGGCAGATGTTGTTTGGTGGTGTTAAAGGTATTATCTCAAGATGTAAGCTGTTCTTTTGCAATTAATAGATAGTGATTTTGTGAATGCCAATGATGTTCAAGTGGTGCTCCAGTTGTTTTGGGATGACACCTATTACTTTTGGTGCTATCTTTGCTCTTTTGTTGCCACAGTCTTTTACTTCTATTTGCAGATCTTTGTATTTGTGATTTTCTCCTGTCCCTTCTCTTCTCTTTTGCTGTCTCCAGGTATTGCAGTGCCCACTATTTAGACTTTTTTTGTCTTATCAACAGTTGTTAAATCTGGGGTGTAAGGTGGCAGGTGCTTATCTGTTTGAATTCTAAAGTCCCGAAGCATGTTAGCTTTTTCATTTTCTGTTACTTTATCTATTTTGTAGCCTCACCAGTTCTTGCTTGCAGGCAAATGATATTTCTTGCAAATCTCCCAAGGCACCATTGTTGCTACTTTGTCATGTTGTTATTTGTAGTCAGTCTGCATGATTTTCTTGCAGCAGCTAACTAGGTGGTGCGCTGTTTCTTCAACCTTTTTGCAGAGGCAGCATTTGCTTACAAGCCTAATGACTTACGACTGAAATTATGGTCATAATCAAGGACTACTTCTATTCCCGCCTTTGGTGTAAAAGCCAGCTGGGTGATTTTGGGCCAGCCAGTCTCTCTCCGCTCAATTCATCTCATAGGATTGTTGTCGGGAAAATAGGAGGAGGAAAGAGTACTAGGTATGATCACCATCTTGAGGTATTCATAAAAATAAAGGTGGGATAAAAAAAATCTAAAAAAAGTTAAGGCTAAAACCAATAATGCTCCAATCTTTGGTGTGAATCCAACCATCAGGTTCCCTTGTGATTGTCCGTTCAGGCCCAGAAGTAGCGGTCTTCAGACCATGAAGTAACTTTCAGTGATGGTTCTCTATAGCCCTTCCAGGTTCTAAGCCTAGCAAGAGGCTGATATCAGAAATGGGAATAAGTGCAATTTTGGGGTTGTTTTTTTTTACATAAGAGCTGAGCAAAATGATAAATTCCTTAGAAATGTATAAAAATTTAAATGAATAGATTTATAGAGTCTTATGAATGGAACAAATAATCAGACTGGGAAGTAATAAAATAAATTTGTCCAGACAGCCAGAGGGCTTTGAATACTGAATTCTTAAACATCTGGGTGCTGAATTCTGGTTCCCTGTCTTCGCTTTTCACAGCCCCATGGT